CTGCTGCTTTTAGCGACTTTCACCAATTCAGCAGTTGTTTACAAGCGGTTCAGATCAGCTAGTTACATTAGCTTAGCGGTTAGCGCTAGCTTCTCTCCCTCTCTTGTGCTCGGTGTGTCTTGGACCAACAGATGAACTTGTTCATCAGAGTGTGGTGTTGTTGTAACTTCAGTGTAGAGGATTGTCATGTTTATTACAATTTCATGTTGTCTGCTGTCTTACCTTCGACTTACAACTTCATGACGCTACTGCCTTGCCTTTAACACACCGCTCCCTCGGCGCTCCTCCAGTCTGTGACCGTCTGTGTACACGGCAGCCGTCAGCGTGACAGGCTGTTACTCGTGATGTGTAACCAATCAGATGGAGCTGTGGGTGGGCCACAGCGATTTTGGTGAGTTTACTGTCAGATCTCTTGACCCGTTTTTTTTACAAAAACAAACACTGGAGGTCAATACACCAGAAACTGAAATGGCAAGGGCAGAAGAGTACGGTACAGTATTAATGGTAAGCTAACCATTAACATAAATAAGTGCCGGTACTGTGTACCGGTGCGTACCGGTCCACTTCATGCACTGGTCACAAGCAAAAAAAGACCCATTGATCTAAAGAATGATGGCAATGGTGAAGTATTTATGAAGTGTTGACTTCTGTGTACATTGAAGCTAAAGTCAATTTGTAATTCAGGTCTCATGCTACTTTTTTATTTGCAGTACTTGATGTTCTTAATCCAGCCTCTAACAGACTGTAAATGATCTCTTTGTATGAGGGAAATAAGCATATTTGATTTGTCAGTATTTTGAATGAAGTCATTAAGTACTGAAGTCATGGAAATTATGCTAATTGTTATTGATGCTACTCCATGATTGCCAAATAATTACCGATGATATGCTGCTCACATCATCACATTTACATGTTGCTCTCTACATCGGCTCGTTAGCGATGGCGCCGTGATGCTGGGCCTATCAGGATCCACTCTCACCACCTGCACACTTGGAGTGTGGGAGCGAGGGGAAGGAGCGTCTGCAGAGTGCCATCACAGCTTTGGCCCAAAGAGCGCCATCACAGCCTTGTCACGTCGAGTCAGTCCCGCTTTGTCTCTTTCCGCTCTCTCTCTCTACGTCTTCCTTTTTCGGTCAGGTGATGCTCACACAGAAAAAGCCCGGGCGTCTGCATCCGGAGCCCTAACGCTCTCTGTCAGCTGGCTGTCCCCGCGGTCACAGTGGAGATTCATCTTTCTGCTGACGTCCCTTCTGTGTGGCAGAGAGTTGCCAGCCCCAGCAATCTTAAAGGCCTGCCATGGCCTCCAGGCACAGGAAGCAGGTAAACGTGGAGTGCGTCAAGGCCACCTGGATCTGTTAGTACATGATCAAAAGGCCAAATTACCAAATGATTGCCTTCTGGATCTGATTCCTATGCTAATCCATCAACAAAATCTATATGAGCACACACGTTCACACGCACATCATTACAGACACTAAAACACTGGAATCTTTTAGGTTTCCCTTTTTTGTTGTTCTAATTAATACGCCACGTCTTGGGCACACTCGAGGTAATTAACATTGTTTTTTGCCAGCAACACACAGCAGATGGTGATTGAAAATAGAGGGATGAGTCGCTCAATCAACCACCATTTGTCTGTAGCCATTAATTATCTAGCGAAGAATACATTCAGTCCCCAAAGTTGATAGTTTGGGGGGAAGAAGAATACTGTCCTTCTGTTCCTCATTACTCTTTAACAGCAGAAACTGCTGAAACTAGAATGCCAGATAGGGAGATTGCGATTTTAATAGCACTGTCATTATCTTCTCCCATAAGGTGGCATACGATAGAAGGCTTGTGGGGGGAAAAAAAATTGTGCAAACAATTTCAATAAACAGAAGCCAAGCAACATCTAGCGGTTCATTGTGTTCTGATTCATCAAGAACACTTTCAGAGATGTTAGGGACAAGATGCACAGTTTCATTCAAAATGATGGGTCCAGAAACCGCCGCGGGGAGAGTTAATTTTTCTCACAATCAAATGAGAAGCCATCAGATCCCGTGACCACTGCAAGATTACACCACAGACCACGTGACTTAATCAGTCATGGAATAACAGCATCTTGCCTGCAGCTATGGCAGCCACGATGTTATTATGCTTCAAAATTTAGCTTCTTCCTCCAGTTCTGGCAAAGTCTTGCAGGAGTGCTGACTTCTGCCTGGCAACAGATTAGTGTTTGACGACGCTCAGCTCATATGAAATCCTCTGAAAATAAAAGGCAACAAGAGGGACAGAGAGAGAGAGAGAGACAGAGCGTGAAAAGGAGTTTGGGGAGTTGAGCAAAGAGAAACCTTGAAGGGACACTGGAGGCGAGAAGTCAGTGACATAGCATCACATCCCGGCATCGCGTCTTTGATGTTATTTTGTCATCACCAGCAGCTCCCTAATCCTACGTCTTTGGCACACTATAATCTTGTTTTTATTCTCTCTGCCAGCCTTGTAGTCAGAGATAATCAGTGTCAGCAAACTTTAATTATTGTGATAGAATAGGAGATAAATGTTGTTGCTTCAATGTCAGTTGTTATTTCATTGATACAGAAGGGAAATTTGTACTCTTGATACATCTTGTGTTACGCCGAGAATAAAAAAAAAAAAGTGTTCTTGATAGTAAATTACCGGTAGGATTGCTCATGTTCCACCCCATAGGCTTTAATTAACTAGTCTCAGTAATCTAATCTTATTATCGAAGACGGCTTTTTCCACACCCTGACCTGCTTACATGATACTGAGACAGGCAGGACCGTGAGAAAAATACAGTAGTAGGATGATATGCTCACAGAGGAGCTGCCAAAATTCTGCAGCGTTTCGTTTTCAAGTTGCTCTCGACTGCTTGGCCACCAAAATGCAAACCATTTACACATTCTTGTCACATTGCTGGAAACAAAGACTGAACAGTCCGTGCCATGTCCAGGATTTCAACAGCATCCGACACAGCATCCACAGCCAGATGCCAAATAAAATACAGCGCTACACAACAACAGTGTTTGTCCCACAGAGAGCCCAGCCCCATCAAACCCCATTATCTCCAAGGCTACCACTTACTTCCAACTGGAGTAGAGATAGCTGCTTATCTACTGGTTAATAATAAAAAAGACACATAACAGATAAAAAAAAAAAAAAAAAAAAAGCCATGCTATCATGATGGAAATAGAGAGGTGGGAGAAAAGAAAGCCGACAGGGAGAGGAGAGATTTCCAGGGACAGTTTCATTCTGTGGAAAGGGCAAGCAGAAGGAGACCTCCCGCTGTAATGCGGCAGCCAAGCCGAAATGAAAGCCAGCCGCTCTCTTCTCCGGGGCTAAACAGCGGCCTTAATAAAAAACACAATCAGACCCCCAACCTTAAAGTTTAATGCACATTCTTCCCATATTTCTCTTTGCACCAGTGAAAAAAAAAAAAAGACGTGGTGGAAGCTCCTGGTGTGATCCCAGCTCCCAGGCTAAGTTATGTGTGTGTGTGTGTGTGTGTGTGTTAAAGAGAAAAAAAAAGGGGGGGGGGGCTGTTATAGTCATAATGAAGCCCCACTGAATATCAAGCACACCATCAACTCACTATAGCTCTCCATTGTGTTAATGAAATTGTTCCCCCCAACTTTTTAATTAACTTGCAGACTCATGGTGTGGAGTCAAGTTGTGGACACAGACAAAGACTACAGTGTTCTCTCCCAGGTGATATGAATATCAAAGAGGGAAGCTGCTCTGAATTAAGCTGAGTTTCTTTATTAGGGGAGAAACTTCAGAGAGAGACAGATGTGCTGAGGATGGGCTCGTGTCATTTCTCCTGCGTCAGTCAGCTTTCACTTAACACTTTGATACATAAGCACAGGAGGGAGGGATGATGAATTTATTTTGAATGCACATTTACAACAAGCATTTGATTTCATAACTTTTAAATCTACCTTTTTTTTTTTTTTTTTTTTTAGTAAGCTCAAGGATCCCTCCTTGATAGTAATCAGAGCGAGCACAAATCACAATCATTCCACAGCGCTGAGTGAAAGTGGTACAACAGCGCCTGATGAAGAGACATTCATCACAAGGAAAGGAAGATCATAGGGAAGCCAGTAAAAGAAAGAAAGTTTTTTTTTTTTTTTTTTTCAAACACATTTCCCTTTATTGGCATGGTGAGGCTGATGAGAATTGCACATAAAAAATAAAATTCACAAGAAAGTCGTACAATAGGTAGAACCACAAAGGCATTGGTAAGGACTTGGCAGAAGGCAACGTGGATAGGACACAAACTGGTAACAACCCACAGCGACCCCCCCTCCCCCTTTCCCCTCCCACACACACACACACGCACGCACACACACAAACACACTTCCAGAAACGCACACGTACCTGCCTAAAATCACAAACTCACTCACACAAACACACACCCGCACACACACATACATTTGCTCATACACATATTGTCCTTCCAAAAGAAACATGATTACCCAACAAACATTTAAGCAGTGGCATAGTCCTCAGTAGGTCACATTATTAAAAAGTCCGCCACAGTTGAAATTTGAACCATAAGGTGTTATAATATATTGCTACTCTAGGCAATTTACAAAGCATTTTTTATTACAATGATTAAAGCCACATCTATCAAATGGGACACGACACCATTACCCAAACGCTATACAGACAGCAAAAAAGTAAAACAATGTCTTAAAACACAGGTAAAGGGCTTTTTTTTTTGCTTTTTTTTTTTTTTTTATCCTTCCTTTGGCCAATTTTTGCCTCTTTGCATCATAAAAATTAGCCGTTTCTTGTCTCCACAGTCAAACTCCATGAAAGGAAGCCTGTGATCAGCAACGCCTTCCTGCAAAAGATTTTTCCTTCCTGTGATGGAAGCTGGTTCTGTCATTACTTGGCTCGCGCTCGAAACGGGATATTAATTGAACCAGAAACCGCAAGGTTACCTTTTATGTCATGTCGACAGCGCTGTGATATCTGGACTGTGAGTGGGGGGTGGGGGGGGTGGGTGGTGGTGGATGGGGCGGCATGCGATACATTGTTGAGTAGTTTTCTCTAGGCTGATAGAATGTCATTTAAAAATCTGCCAGTAAAGACAGCTGTGAGGCAGATATCCAAAGTGGTATATACTGTACCGACTGTCATCCTGTAATAGCCATGCACTACACAACAAACAGGTTCAACTCGACACATTTTTACACACGGGGTGGAGTTTAAGAGTCAGTCACGTTTGCACAGATGTCACAAGGTAATGCGTGCATTACAATCACATAGACTCAATTACATCTTTAAAGGGAAGAGCAGGAGGTGGGAGTGGGGACATTCAAGTGTTTACCGCACAGGGTGATGTCACGGTGATGAAATGCCAAGATACAGGAATGGAGTCCTAACTACCAGCGACTGGGTAATGGGTCAAGTCCAAAAATCACACAACAGTAGGAGCTAAAATACAACTCTGAAAAATAATTTATTGCTTTTTATATAGTTTTTTCTTTCATTTATATTATTATCATTGTTATTATTATTAATTATCTTGTAATTATTGTGAATAATATTAGTAGCATCATTGTATATATATATTTTGTACATCAAATACAAGATCTTTAAAAAATTCAGGAAAAGGAAATTGTAAACTTTTGTTTGGCATTCACATAATCAAGCGTGAGTGGAGCGATGACAACAAGTGTTTGTGGTGGTACAACACAATTCCTGCAAAATCATTTTATTGCTTCATGTTCTGCTTCTGTGTGGAAAGGAAAAACCAGCGACGAGCCGCAGATCTGACTGAGAGCGGAGACGGAAATCATTGAAATGATGAGGGGGTTGGCTGCTGGAGTGATTAGCTGAATGTTCTGATTGTTTCGGAAAGGCATAGAAGGTAATATTATCCCCATCAAACCATTTATTGTACACCCTGTCTAGTGATTACAAGTTAAATAACACAAATCGAAGGACAACATAAATAAGCAAATAAATTTCATGAGGTACGCCATGTGAAATGGAGCCCATAAATATTTTTGATTCTAATATTAAAATAAATAGATAAATATGTGTTTGTACTGATTGAAAAGATTTGAATGCAGTTTTCTCTCTCACTGAAGGTAATCAAAAGGAGAACCATACAAAGCAATGAAATCAAACCGAGTTATATATCTATATATATACTGATTGCTTCAGAAATAATTAATAAAAAATGGGGTACCTTTTTTTTTTTTTTTTACAATCATGAAAAACACGTTAAAAATGCATTTTACACTGGTTGTTATAAGCAAAAAACACTGATTGAGAAACTTTATAAACAGAGAAAACTATACATGGTTGACTGTTTTTCCCCAACAAAATAACTTAAAAAAGGACGTTTGTTCACATGCTCCCTCAAAATGAGCAGTCGGACACATCTTTTTTTCTTTTTTACAATCATATCATGTCTTCTAAACATCATGTAGGTGTACAATATGTTTTACAGTATTGTAATAACTACAGATCGACATTCTGGATTAAGAAATTTTCTCCTCATTTTTAAAAAAGGCTGCGTTTTACAGTGCATAGCTGTAACAAATAAAGAACTTTATCCGATATGTACATAAAATAAAAATATTCCTTTTTATAGTATTTGTAAATACACGGCTACATTTCTCCTTAAAATGTAGACAACAATGTTACCTTGAGAATTTTACCTCCAAGATACAATTCCCTAAACTCTTGTTTGTCATGTAACACCAGATCCAAACACCAGATTCAAAAAGAAAGAAGAAAAAAATCAACTGCAAAACAAAAACAAATCTGGCTGAACAAGCTGCATGTTTTCACCCCCAAAGAATTGTGGGCATTGTAGTGCTTGGAGAGAAAAAAAAAAATCATTTAAAGTTTTTTTTTTTTTTTTTCTTCTTTCACTGATGGTTGTACAGCAGTAGAGTGCACCAAACCTGTGCACCAGGTTCTGAGGGTTCACTGGCTTTCCCAGAATGCAATGTCTCTTCCCAGCTCTTCAGCAGCTATGTTCATGTAAACTTTATTTTTGATATATTCATTTATATTGATATAGGTCTATAGACTTATTCTTATATACTCTACGACATAGAGTGTAAAACTTCTGGTAGTCTCGTCGTCAAAGGAGCGAGAAACAACAGTGAGGTATAAGAAGTCCCTCTTGGTGACAGACAGCAGGTGCCACTGAACTGGTTACCTTCTCAGGCTGCGCTGGGCCTCCCTCAGCAAGCTGTCAAAATCCATGGAGTCATACTTGCTTTTTGTGGAGGCTGGATCAAAGTCGTCCGAATGGGAATCTGAAAGGGGAGGGCGGGCGAGGAGGATTGTGGTTAGAGTTGAGCAGAGCAGGATTCTTTGAAAATGCACCTATACCAAGACTTTCACCTTTGTATTCTCAGAGGAGTTTATGATCAGAGCTCACAGAATATTCTCCCTTTACGACAGTATTGTTCGCTCCTGTCTGGCTCCAGTGTTAATCTGATAGTCACTGTGCTATGAAGCTTAGATGTCCATCTTCCTGAAAAAGAAAATGTTTTCTTCCCGGTCTCTGGCTGCAGAAAGTAAAGTGCTGGCCACAAATTCATGAGTAACATGAAAACAGGAAAATGCACAACCAACTGTCAGTCTTGGTGATAATATTTTATGAGCTCTTATGTGCTGAACTATTTGTTGTTCGGCCACAATTAATAGATGGAAATTGTTTCAATCAAACTGCTACGAGCGAGGAGTTCGGATAGTGGGGGTAGGAAAAAGTGTTTTCTGTTACACAGAGGCCACAGATGTGAGAGCGTATCCATATGTCCTATTTTTCCCGATCAACCTGATAATACATAGAGTATCTTATCACTGACAACAGACAGCTTCACAAATGGGGCCCCCAAAGGGCCCAGCAGCACACTCCAAGAGCTTTGAGAAATGGGAATGACCATGGCAGCTAGGAGACGCCAGTCGTGATCTAATGCAATGGCCGAGGGCGAGATTGCGTCACACAGCGCACCTTGAGGGATGAAAAATATCCCGGTGCTCTACTTAAAACTAATGGACAGTGTCTCAGAAAACAACAAAAAAAAAAAAAGAAAGAAAGAAGCGGGAGCCTACAAGATTGAGAAGGAGGGGTGGGGGTGGGGTGGGGAGGTTGGACACCACACTATTATAAGATTCTCCCTTCCTCTCAATCTCTTTATCCTGTGCTATCAGTATGGGGACGACCAAAATAGCCTGTTCCTGACAAAGAGGCGGTCAAATGAAGGCCTTTCCATTTCAGTAGACTGATTAGTCAATCTCGGCATAATGTCTACCCTCAAGGCTTTAGGATTAGCAAATGTTTCTGTGTGTCAATTTCTCATCATGTCTTCTCTTAAAAAGCTGATGGCTTCGAGCATGTGTTTTGAAAAATATATAGTGACCGCTTCATTTATTGAGGAGAGTGCTCTTATTCTAAGTGACCCATTGACCCTCTTGTAGCTTTGCCTTATTCATTCCTGACCTCGCATTCTGCTGGTAAACACATGTCGGGGGGGGGGGGACTGGCTGCAAGACGCAAGAGTCAATATCTATCTGATATGTCATCAAACGGAGGAGATGATCTTTTGTGGCTGTGCAACACTTAACATAATGAGGCATGTCTCACTTAAGTTTCAATATGGCTGCTCGATTACTGCCACCTTTATCATTGTGCAGCTTCAGAAGGAAAAAAAAGAATCTTTTCTTTCTTCACATGTCATAAAGGGCATCATACCGGAGGAGAGAGTCTTGATTTCACTGATAGCTTGAATTATTTATCAAATGCGTCATTCAGCTACAGTTCCTATCTGAGATCTATGTATCTGACCCATATGGAAGCTCTGCATATACAGTACATCAGCTACAGATGTATGTGTACCTTTACTCTCAGGAATCACATATGTTAGATGAATCCTGCTACGCCGCTGACACCCACGACCCCCCGAACTCCCAACAAAGGCAGTAGGTACGAGTAAGTAGGTATGCTCCCACAGTGGCCCCTCCCTCTATGTAAATGACGGGCGCCTACGTGCCACATCAAGGCTCTACCTCGTTTCAGCGCCGTAACAGCTGGCAACAGATGGAATCTCACTCCAGAGGGAGGAGGGGTTTCTGGGACTTAACCTTGCTCCCACCTTCTTCTTCTTCACCTCATCTCTTTTCCTTGTCTTCGTTCTGCTGTGCCTTTTTTCCCTCCTAATTTCCTCTCTACTCCTCCCTCTTCTTCTCCACGCTCTTAAAGTGATCCCCACACCCACGCAGCACATGGAAACATACCTTGAACACAGCTGCTCGCGTGCTTTTAAGTGCCATCTTTCTCACTAATGTCTCGCTTTTCATATCAAAACGGTAGAAACAAGCGTCCCATGTGCGTATGAGTAATGGATGCTGCCTCGATTTGCTGTAGATGCGACCAGCAGGGAGGAAATGGAGCTCTATTCTCTGCGTGTTCACAGTCTGACCTCTGAACTCTCTTTGCCCTTTTTGAGCCGCAAATGCCTGGTGGACACATTGAAGGCTGCAAGAACCTTGGATGGATCTCCTTTGATCTGGAAACATCACTCAAGCCTCTTTTTTTTTTTTTGCTGTCTTATTCCCTACTCCCTCTTTCCCCTTTTCCTCTTTACACTGACAGCCCTCCCAGCTACGCAAATATACTGCATGACTGCAGGGGGCTGATGCAGAGAACAACAAAGCTGCACTTACCCAAGTCTGTGTAATGTGATTTGCAGAACTGCTTTTGTCCGCCAAAGCACAGCTCGAACTGAGGCTCGTTTGACCTGCGTAAGGTGTGTCCGTTCTCAAGGGCGGCAAAGGCGTCACAAGTGTAGCGGTACGTGATGAAGCCAAAATTGTCCCTGGTCAAGAATAGAAAATGATACGTCAGAGTGTTGCTGTGGGGCAACAATAACTGAACAGGGGGGGGGGGGCTTGTCTTAGATGACGATCACGCTATTTATATGCAAAAGAGAATCAATAAATGTGTATCTTTGGGGCTCTGTAGGCCGAGACGTAGATGAATCAGGAGACGCTCTGAGACTACAAAAGCTCTGTCTTTGTCTTAGACCTTAAAACACTCGCCTCTGCTCTAAGTTCAGCAGTTACAGCAGGAGATTTTTGAAATCATCATTTTTATTATGATTATAATTAGGAATGCTCAAATAAATGTCTACTATAGCTCTACACTAATACCAGACTACTATAAAGATGCACACACACACACACACACACACACACACACACACACACACATGCACAGAGAGTCCTGGGGGCCTTACCCATCGTCCCTCAAGTTCACTGCACATTCTTCAATTTCGCCAAAGACTTCAAAGCGGCGCTTCAGCTCCGTCCGGGTGCAGTTGGACCTCAGTCGCCCCACGTACACCACCCGTCTCTCCTCCTGCTCGTTAAGAGGAAAGACAGAGCAGAGGTAGGAGATTAAAAGGGGGAGTGTGTTTTTCCCTTTCCCCTCTCTTTCTTCACTGAGCCCTAATGAATTGGTCTTGATCACTCCCGTGGATACTGCGGCTGACTTTGGGCCCCCCGATTTTGTCCCCCTTCCCTGTCTGTCTGTTGTGTTCCTCTGTGATTGGTTCAGCTTGCTTCCTCTTATCTGATAGACTTGCAGTTTGGAGGCACCTTCAATCTGCCTTGGCACCACAATTCCTCTTTCTCTCTGCAACTCATCAACCAGAGGCAGTGATTTTTATCAAATCTTAAGTTTGGGGCTGCTTCTTCTTTCGTGAAGTCTAAAAATAAAGCAGCGAGGTGACTCAGCCATATATCAGAAAAGCCTGTTTCTGCCTTTCTTTCTTTTTTTCTTTCTTTCTTTCTTTCTTTCTTTCTTTCTTTCTTTCCAACTTGGGACTCAAACTTACAATACACAGCAAAGTAGGCGGGGTTGTTAACTGAGAGGTCTGTTAATATTATAAGGATATTCATATACAACAGAGAGGGAGCATTAAGAGCTGCGGCAGTGAGCCACGGGGCAAAAAACATGGATTTCCTTGAACCTCAGAGGACGTGGGGGTCATAGCGGAATAATTTTGGAACAAACTGCACGAGGCTGCAATTATAGCTTTTGAGTAGTTTAATTGCATCTGCTAATCATATAATACAGCACAAGCCCGAGGCTACAGTGCATCATGAGTATTATTTATTTATTCCTTCATTTACTTGCCATTACTGGGGCAAGTCCATTGAGGCCTGTTGAAATTTTGAATGCTGTCTTGAGGGTAGTCGTAACATATATGTAAATCAGTTGCCTGGTGCTAAACTCAAAGTTCACCTTTGCCCCGTTTGACTTATACAGAGTAGCCTAGAAATATATAAATTAACTACAGATGACTGTTTTTATGCTGCTTACATACTGTTTGAGACAAAAAAAAAAGTATTTGCTGAATTAGGGGTTTAGTTGCTGACAACTGATAAATAGGCGGTCTCTTCTTGATGGCACCCTGAGGGCTGCCTGTGTGTGTGGGTGTGTGAGTGAGTGAGAGCGCGAGGCAAAAACAGAACAAGACAGACACACACACACACACACACACACACACGCACGCACGCGCACGCACACACAACACACACACACACACACACAAGGAGACGCTTTCACATCCCTGGTCTCCCAAACCTCGTCTGACAGCTTGAGCTTCTCTGCTCGTAATTGTTTGTCTCTCCATCTCTGAAAATGTATGCATGCCAAGCCACGTTTGCATTACTGCATCATTTAAAGTGCGCTTTATCAGCGGGTGGTAGTAGCGTGATCTCCCTGGAAACTAAAGTAATTTCACACTGAGACAAGGAGAGTGGAGACATGGGAGAAAATATGATATTCACTGCATCGGGCTGACTTTTGAAATAGATAAAGAAAAAGGAAAAAAAAAAAAAAAGAGCTCAAGAGAATCAGTAGCCGTTTCCTTTTTTGTCCTTTTCCCCGTCTTGCTCTCCTAGTTTCTGTTTTCCACTATTTTAACATTTTACCCCTGTGGTGTGATTAATAAGAGTCGACAGTGTTTCCAGATGACAGAGACGTTAAAAATACACAACCCGGAGATAAAGAGGAAGGGCCTGTCGCCTGAATCATTCAGGAACTCACTTTGTATATATTCTTTCAGCGGAGGGAGACGCTGAGGCACATGGCACTGGGCTGGAGGCTGTCTCATCCTAAGTAATGTGTGTGTGTGTCTGTGGGAGGTTTCTGTGTGTTTGCAGGAATTTGTACATGTGCCACAGCAGTGATTGCATGCGGTCTTTTATCAGTGGCAGCAGGAAAGGCGTAAAGTACAGCACAGAAAAAAAACAACAAAAAAACAACGGGGGGGGGGGGGGGGGACGGAAGAAATGAGATGGCAGTTGTGTTTGTTGACTCACTATTGCTTTCTGCCTCTGCCTCTCTCTCTGCTCGGCTCTTTCGAACTCCCGCTTCTCGTAGTCCCGGCGGTACTCCTCCCTCTTCAGCCTCTCGTGCTGGTACTCCTCATAGCTGTCATACCTGTGGAGGATGAGAGACTTATGACATCACTGTCCTCACTTGTCCTCTAAATTTACCCTCCCCTGTTGACGCTGATGAAGAACAACTGCCAGTGTTCACCAAGGAGCAGTCGCCGCCCCCCACCCCCCACCCTTTTTTTTTTTTCTCACCACTGATGGAGGAGAAGGGGGTTGCAAAGGAACGGAAATGGACATGTTAATAAGATGTCTCTTTGCCATTGATATGATTACGGAGCCCGCAGGAAAGGCCCGCGGGAGTGCCGGCGAGCAACGCGGTCGGGGAGCCAGGCAGCTGCAACTGTCAGCACAACTTCACATGTCATTACTTTCTGCTTAGTTAGGGCTTCATCAAGAAGTGCAACTTTCTCCCCCACCCCACACTAGCACAAGACGTGTCTGTTAAGTTTTCGACTGATGAGCGACTCTCGGGCTTGTCGGGTGTCATTAGGCATGTGGGTGCCAAATCAGCTCGGAGCACTGGGATGGTGTCAGTCTCCCTCTCTCTCTCTCTCTCTCTCTCTCTCTCTCTCTCTCTGCACTGTGTCAGTACTTCTCTGCATATGAAATGGTCCCCTCTGCAGTGGCTCATGGAAAACTACAGAGGCACTAAGTTGAATAAGCATCATTATACAGCTGGGAGCATCGACTCATGAGTGAAGTAATGTGCATCAGTATGATTTGGGATCCTCTTGTCACTAGTCCAATAAAACATGATCAATTAAACATATTTGCCCCAAATGTTTGTCAAGGGGTCCCCGTGTGGACGGAACAGACTGCATACAGGCTTCGGTCTTGATGTGGAGAGGGAATCGCAGAGAAATCAAACTAACTCTGAGCGGTGACAGGGAAAAGTTCATTGTTCACTGTGACTGCTTCTTCAGTGAGGTCTTTTGAATTCTCAGGCAGCCTCGGAGAATACACACTTGTCCCGACTTGAAGTATGTGACTAAACAAAGGTTTATCGCACACAAAACAAATGAGAGGTTAAATAATTCATTTCAAATAATCACCTTGGCCTGCGGCTGAGAGGAGATCGAGACTGAGGGTGGGGGCTCTTGTAAGTCCTGGAGCGAAAAGTGCTTGAATCTGTGTTGTGACGAGACCTGAGGGAGAAATAGAAAATGTTAAACAGGAAAACTTATTTTTACCAACACCTGGGAGTGATGTTCATCTCACACAGCAGAAACATGTTTAAAAAGGAATGAAACATACTGTTGGCTGCCGCAAAGTTGTGACACCTTGGTTAATTTCCTCTTGGCTTTGGGAACCAAATGAACTTCTTTGATATTTGTAATACCCATTAACACGGTCGAAACTGGGTTAATTCCAGATAAAAGCATTCTGGCCTTGTCCTAATCTAACCCAGAAGGCGTGCATGACTTTCTCTCCTTTTCACACACCTGAGCATGCACCTGCTATCTATGTTGTATGAGGAAATGGTCAATACTGCAGGCCCCGGTGGCCCGACTGTAGAGCTTGTACCCCTGCACTCCTTAAGCTTGATGCTTAATTATTGAAGTGTTGCTGAAGAAGGACGAGCTGAATAATGGAGGGGGAGAACTTTGGGAAGCTCAGTGAAGCAAAGGAATGGCAGCTTGGAAAGATCTAGGATCTTGCGCCGTGAAACTTGAACAGAGTGGAACATTTTTGAGAATTATTTGGCTGACATTCTCTCTATCTTTCTTTGCATCAAAATATAACAAGCTTCTTGTTCTGTCACTTTCAAAACTCTAATCCCTATCCAGCATTTTTCAGAAGGCTTGTCAGTGTCAGATTCTGATCAAATGATTTGGGACTATTACGATATAATCTGTGAGCGAGCTGGTGTAGAACAAGGTCCCAATAAAGATAAAGTGATTCTATTGGCTCTGTGGAGTAAACTGACCTTTAAATAATCAGGCAAACTAACTGAGTCACTGCACTGGAGTCCTACACTGAGGCTCAATGAACTACTACTGACAAACTGAATTTACTCACATCTTTCTCAGCAACTATGGTTTGACTCTGTTCTTCCACCAAAAACACCCAACAGAAACCCCCTTGGCGCTGATCAAAGGGAAGCATGGGAAATGTAGTTCTCACACAGTGCTATGATGATAGGAGTCTCTTTTGAGAGGGGTTTTGAGACTACATTCCCACAGCCTGGATTTGGCTTTCATCTCTGGGGATGTAAAAGAGGAGGGTTTGCCACTCAGTAAAAACAACAGCTGCCGCTTAAAACAATAGCCCCGGCATCAAACACAAAACAGAAGCATGCAAAGGAGCCAGTGAGGAGGGGAGTGTTAGGAAGACACTCAAATATAACTCCCTGCCTAAAGATGAAAACTGATACTGTTCAAAAGTCCAGCGCCTCTGGCACCTTTCATGTTTTGGGTTTTTTCCTTTTTGTTCATTGTTCATCGCACCATTCAACCAATCGTCTTTCCTCACTGTTAGTTCAGAGAAATGAAAGTGCCACCTGGTTTAACAGGCAGAAATTGGTTAGCATAACAACTGCAGACAACTTGGCTTTGTGTAAGACTTGCCAAATCTAATCTGCATTTAGTCCAAGCAAAGCAAAGACTAGCAGGAGGTCAAGAGCCCGTGCTAAGAGTCTCCAGGGTCTATTCTGTCTGACATCAGCTCTGACGACTGATCAAGCCTGTTTTACACTCCTAAGCTAGACCCCCTGCCAGCTCCAAGCCCTGTTTAAACTGCATGGGTGGGGTGCAGCCAAGGTTCAGCCAAAAAAAACACTCGATGTCTGTGTGTGTGTGTGTGTGTGTGTGTGTGTGCAAGAGAGAAAGAGAGAGAGAGAGCGAGAGAGAGAGAGAGAGATGACTTACCAGGAAGAGGGGCGTCTGTCAGGTGAGCTGGAGAGAGAGCGCCTTCGGTAGTGTGAGGAGGAGCTGCGGGAGCCGGAGTGGGAACGAGAACGGGAGCGGGACCCGCCGCTGGTCCAGCAGAAAGGCCTGCCTGGCGAGAGGAGGAGGGAGGAAGGTGGGGAGACGGAGCCTCGCGAAGGGGAGCAGCTGGATGGTGGGGAACAGGAGGGAGAGCAGGGGGGGCAGTCAAAGAGTAGGTCCAGAGGGGTGCCCTCCCATGGATAGAGGAAGCGACTCTCACGGCCCTCACCCAGCTCTAGTTCATCGTGGAAGGGCAGGAAGCCTGGATGCAGGTAATTGGAGCCAGGCAGCTTCTGGGATAAGTACTCGTCCTCTCCCTCCTTGAGGGACTGAGGGGCTGCAGACTTGTTCGGTTTGCTGCCTGGTTCTCTTTCCTGACCACCCTGACTGTAGAGGGCTTGTAAAGGGTGGCCAAAGTGCTTGTTGAGTTCTGCTCTAATTTCTTGGTCGCACAGGAGCTTCCGGCTGGTGGCAGAAGGGTGTTGTTGGTCCCTGTCAGTAGTGGCCTCTTGTGAGGGGATCTGGGTGGTTTGTGTAAGGGTCTGCTTCCCTAACCCCTGGACCCGGACTGCTTCTCCATCCACAGAGGCAAAATTCTGCTGCTTAGCCAACGGACCAGATGAAGCTGATGATGGAGAGCAAGAAGATGAAGATGATGAAGAGGATGGTGGCATGGCTGAGTCCTTACATTCGACATGCCTGTCCTCCACTGTGCCTGCAGTAGGCATGGGAGCAGCAGTGGCACCTGAGGTGACTGTCATTTCCGCTGCTGTAGTCATGGTAACAGTGGCTGTGCCGCCGTCCTTCTTAGTGCTAGCTGACGCTTGGCAATAGTCATGGTCACTGTAGCCACGGGGCGCCGCCCGCTTATTGTTGCTAGTGCTGCGATGCTCCTCAAGGCCGCCCACCACTGTGTGTTGGGTGGCGGAGTAAGGGAGGGCGGTGGACGCTTTGCTCAGCTGGGCATAAAGCTCAGTCTGTTCGGGACCCTTCCTGTTGGGGCCCCCGCCTGAGGCACCTGGGGCCGGGGCCAGAGCGCCGGGGCCCAACTCGCTCAACCTGGCTCTTTTGCATGCCAAAGCTGAGGAGGAACATGAAGACAACTTGGTTTTGAGCGATGCTTTGAAAGGATTCTCTTGACTGGCTTTGTGTGGGGGCGTGGTAGGTGGTGTCAGACCTGCAGAGGGGATGAAGAGACAGAGGTTGGTGTGGGGGTAGGGGGGTGGGGTGGGGGTGGTGGGGCAATAAAATGAAAATGGAATCATAATGCAGACCACTCCAAATATCCCCCTCTCCCTCCTTCCCTCACTCATCTATAAACTCCCAGGTCAGTTTATGGACAGTGGACACAGATACATGCCTGATTAAAATATTCACTTTCACTTGGCCTAATCCTGATCTCTATTTTATTGCAATCTTGACAGATTAATGTAATGCTTGGTGTAACTTAATATGGTGGTGCTGTAATACGGATGACTTGCAACCCCCTTCCTCTCTGACCTTGGAAAGATCCCTTTTCATGAAAAAAAAAAAAAAAACACAACACAAAACCCTGTAGAGGACAAAGCTAATGCATCTGAAGAAAAAAATTAAAGTGTGTGTATCATATCTCTGCCTGCCTCACACAAATGTCTGCACTGGACAGCAGCCAATTCATCTGAATCAAACCAGAGACCTTTTTTAACGGTCTGAAAGAACAATCACTGACATGACGGCGTGCATGCTTCACAATGATCCAGCACCGGCTCCGTGAACCAATGTAGGAAGATATGTCACTACTCTCAATTTACATGTTGGCGTGCCTGCTGATGTTGCCATGGCGAGATGTCTTCTATGTCATAGAAGCACAGGAAGTATTTGCAAATGGGTTGTCATTCTTCTCAGATGGCATGTCACTACTGCTTATGCCACCCCCCCCCAACCCCCTTTCCCATCTCTTCCCCCGCCTCCTACAGATTTACAACCAGACAGATGGCAGTTATATGGGAAGTCCTGAGATGAGCCCACTTTATAGCATTGTTAATGCACTCACACAAACAGCCACTGCCATTACTCTCATTCTCTCTTTCCTCCTCTCTTTTAGTCTTGTATTCTCCCTTCTTCTCTCTTCCTGTTTGTCTCTATTTCTCCCTTTCTGTCTCTCTGCATCTTTTCCTGTTTCTATCTTGTAGAGAACGCACGCACGCATGCACGCATGCACGTACACACACACACACATACACCACAATAATCTCTCACCTGAGTCAAACTCAGGCACTTTGAAACACCTGTGCTGTCCCTTCCTCTTTGCCTTTCTTATAATGCACATCACTCTTCCCTTGCTAGTGAATTGCACCAAATGACAGCTATTAGTATCAAATCCAGTGTTAGCGTATGCACCGGGAAGACAGCTTGGCAAAGGCAGTGCGGGAGCCTGATACATAAAAATGCAAGTTTCTGAAGCCACTTGCTGTGTTTGGAATGCCTGATCCAACGGATTATCATCCTACTTATTATCTGGATGTGTCTGTAAGTAGGACTGCAAGCCCCCACTCCTCTCTATCCCCCCTTTTTTCCTCCGTCGTTCTCTCTATTCGCTCAGCTCTGATATAGACACATAAATGCATTATGCCAATGAAATGAGCTACGAAAAGGAGAAGGCAGGGAGGGAGAGCGGGTGCTACACAATGCCTGAGGAACTTCTGTTTCAACAATGAAGCACCATCTGTCCAAAACAATGTGCGCGTGGGGTCATAAACTAGGAGCCATTAGCGATGGAGGTGAAATAAATCAGAATTAGATAAATATGTGCCTCTCAGTCAATCTTGCTAGTGATGGATGATCCGCAGACATGAACACCAATCATGTAGCCACCGGAGAGAAAAAACGATGAAGCAAGTGAGCAAGACAGAAAGAAAGAGGAGGGTTTTATAATCTTTTTTCTCGTCCAGCTGTAAATTGCGAGGAGACCTCGGAGCGAATAACAACTCCGGGCTTAAAGAGTTGATCCGCCGGTAAGCCATGCAAATAGCAACACACAGACCACCCCAGTGTCATGAGATACAGTAATTAAAGACAACACGGCAGCACAGGGTAAATCTATTAGCTTGGCAGAGATTAGGCCTGAACAGTCAGATCCCAGGGGGGTCTCAGTGGCTGTTGTAGCTTTACTGTACCTCTCTGAGAAGTGTCACGAAAGCGTGCAGCCAACAGTTCAAAAGGTGCTATTGCGTAGTATTAAACATAATTTGGGTCAGTACAAGATGTCCAGGTCTATGTTCCAGCTGATAAATAAATTTATCTATCTATGAAACAGTTAGCACTACTACTACAACTCATCATAAAGCCATAAAATAAAATGTTACTGGCAACGGTTCACGGAAAGTTCCATCAGTGAGTTGTCTACCTGGCTTGAAGGTGGACGGTGGAACCGCCCACCTAGCTAACTTCCATCTTTATCATACGTTATCAGTAACACACGCCATAATCTCTATTGTAGTGGAATGTTACTCTAAATCTGCAAAGGACATGTAACTCGTGACCCAAAAGCTTTCATCTGTGCTTACTGGGATCTATATCCATCTGTCTCATACAGCACGAGACTCAAAAGCTAATCCCTAAGTAGGAGAGGGGCTCAGTAACCTGGAGCTTTCTGGACTAACGACTTTTCCTGCTAATATTCAATCCTAAATTTGCGCAGCACCGTGAAGTCAGGTGAAGGGCTTTATTTGACTGTGCTTGCAAAACGGATGCGGTGGAACAGAACGGACGCACAGATTTGGCCACAGGTCAACAGGCTCGCCCCCATGCAGTAAAACAGGAAGAAATATTAACTGTGCTTGATTGCCCCAGAGCTTAAGCAGCCCTGTTCTTTCCTTTCTTTAGGTCTCAACAAGCGCAGCCTTTGACCCCTCCGGCACTTCAAACCAAGGTCAGACGGACTGAGGGACATACATTTCTATCCCCCGCAAGAGCTGAGTAGAGGGTGCAGGGGGGGGGGGGGGGGGGGGGGGGGGGGGGGCAAACATGAGGTATGTTTGAGGACCATTTCCCTTGTTGGTAAATGAATAGCCAAAGAGAGCAGTGCAACATCACACAGCGCGAGAGGCTAAAGGGCAGCCATTTTGTTTTTATTGACCATAGATGATTAATCTGGGGAAGAAGGGGGGTAATTACTGACATAATTTGCACAGAGGGAGAAAGATGGATTTGACCCCCAATAATGCAGCTTTCACTGAGACTCTCCTCATTTCTGTCTTGTATTTATCTTTTGCCTATAGTTTTCTTCTGATGTAGGTGATTATATCTCAATAACACAAAAGAATGATTATGAAAAACCCTCCCACTGACTCCATTTACAAAACATCCTTTGCATGTAAGTCTTAACAGTGGAAAATGACCCTCCCCCCCAATTGATCAAATTGCTTGTATGGCTCTGGATTTAAAGGAAGGAAGGCACAGATCATACAGGCAAAACTGAATTACATAGCAAAACCAATTAAAACAATAACACCGCCATTTCAATTTTCCTGTGATGCGTAGCCTAAGTAAGCTGTCAGTCAGAGAGCATTAGGATCTGATGGAGGAAGAGGAAAAGCATATTAACGCTTCAGTAACAGGGGAGGGGAGACGGTGGAGGATGGGAGGGGTTTGCTAATAAACCCTGAAGAGATTGGAAAGCCTAATCAATACTCAGGCACATAAATGTTCTCCTTTGCCTTCACCTTGAACTTTGAACTGTGATGGAACTATCAAGATGCTGGAAAAGCCACAGTTAACCCATTACTCACTACAAGAGGGAGTTTTTTTTTTGTTGTAAATTTAACAATGACTACATGTGTTTTAAATAAGCAGAAAAATGTGCTCACCTGGGGTTCCAGCAATCTCCACACTTAATGTGCGTTCAATGGTTTTGTTCTCAAACGGTGATCCCTTGTGGTCACTGGAAGACAAAAAAAAAAGTGCAACATTTTACCTCTCGGGGTGAAAGCGAGACCTTGCGAGCTTTTGTGATCTAAGAAATGGAAATGAGTCACAAAAATGCCTCAACTTGGATTCTAGTCTATATAGTCTTCTTTGAGTGTGTCATTTTTTCTGTAGTTTGTTGCTGCTTTTTTTTTTTTTTTTTGCCTAGAATAATGTGGAAAAACTTCTCACACTTACTTTGGAGACTCTGGGGTCAAAGGAAGTGGCAAGGTGGTTGGTTTGGCTGCAGAACACAAAGGAGCATGGGTAATTATTGATCTAGGTATAACACTCATGGCAGAAGAGAGCAGGTCCACATTCTGCAACTATTAATCTCAAACTAGCTCATTAAATGCAAATATGACTAAATAGACACCCATCCCTGGTTAGAAAGTCCTTCTATGGACACTAGTGTACGGAGCATATCTTTTTAGATTGACCCCGTTTTAACAATTTATTCTCTTAGGATAGACTGTTCACTCTGTGAGGCAGGATGAAGTGATGGTACATGTTTCACAGGTGTCTAGACACAGACATACCCTGCTCAAGACAACAAACAGATCAAAATGGAATAAAGACATAGAGAGACGATGCCACAAACAAGACACATGACAGTGGGTGAGCCCCTCCCTGGACAATAAAGTCATAAACGCATGCACCAACAGCAGAGGAAGGGGAAAAAAGAAGGAAGAAAGGAGAGTCAAGGAAGCTTGTGCAGTTGCCCGAGGCTCTGGCCGACTTGTGCTCCAGCTAAGGGAACGTGGCTTTAGTAGCACGACGCTAAAGAGCAGCACCCGGGCTCTGAGTCTAAATGTACATATTCAGCACACTCAGCTCAATCAGCAAAAGATGGTTCAAGGGTCGACTTTATGAATACAACACGTACAGTAGCAAGACATGGCTCGCCCCTTTTCCCCCCCCCTCCGTTTTTTTTTTATTTTTTTTTTTTAACTTCACTCGATTTAAATTTTAAAGAATGCCTCCGGGACTAGCAAAAAGCATTGGCTAGCAGGCTGTTTGTTGTCATTGTTGTTTGTGCCCTCAAAATGACTGTTAGATTCGAATTAGAATAGGGGTTAGTTGTGAAGTCAAACTGGGAAGTGGTTAGAGCAGGAGAGGGAGAAGAGAGAGCAGAGATAAGGCCAGTGGGGGGGATGCAGTCATGATTACCTAACAACGGGAGGCCCTGGTCGTCGGGGTGCTCGCTGAGTGCCTGCCTGTGTGGGTGCCCTTGCCCTTGTATGATGCAGGGAGGGGTGGGCTCTGCAATTCTAGTATCTGGGAAGAGCGGGCTTGGTGGGCCCTGTGAGAGCACCGCTGCGGGGCTGCCCGTGACATGGTCATCATCATCATCATCAACACCATCATCATCATCATCATGGTCAACATCCTCCCCATAGCCCCCCTGGATTGGCCACCCCAGCTCTAGTCCAAAGCCCATGTCTAGCACTGGATCTGCCTGGCTGACCCAGCTCTCTAGGTCTAAGGCAAGAGGTGACAACAGGGGCTCTGACTCAGGCTCTTCAGCCTGACTTACTCCCCGGTTTCTAAAATCAGTGGTCCCTCTGAACTCTTCCTCCTCCACCTTTGAAACAGCCTGGGCTGGACTCTCAGACCTCTTACCTGCTAATTTGCCCTGAGTGCTGGGTAAAGGGGTGATCTTAGGTGGGAGAAGGTGGGCCCGATACTGAGCAGGCCTCTGTTTGGAGGTGAGCAGCTGGCTAAGTAAGGGGTGCCCCGGCTTCTCATCTCTTTTCCTAATAGTCACTGTGATGTGCCTATGTGGTGCACGGCTGGCACCACTACTGCTACTACGGCCTTGCCTGCCAAAGCCCTCACTAGCCTGAGTGGCGCCCGCAGCCTCTCGGCAATGCTCACAGCTGTGACTCACCTCTCTGGGAGGGAGGGAATAAGAATGCATATACCTAATAAACCTAGCGGCGGCCAGGCGGCCCACATTGCCTGGCGGCCTTCCTTCTTCACTGGGCGGCCCGTGCTCCAGTTTGGGGCGGGCATGGCCGCAGGTGGAGGTTCTGTGGCCGACAGGGATAGAAGCACCCTCCGACTCCTCAACACCGCCATCGTGAGTGCAACGCTGCCACTTCCCAGCCCCAACACCAGCCACACTACACTCGCCTGCAGCCCGGCTCTCACCTCGCTGGTGATGCTGCTGCAGCTGCTGCTGCTGCTGCTGCTGTTGTTGTTGAGATGGCACAGCTGACTTCTTCTTGGAGGTGGTGGAGGAAGATGAAGAGGAGGTGGAGGAGAGGGAGGAGAACGAGGAGGTGGATGACGAGGATGGCGACGAGGAGGAGGAAGAGGCGCCAAGACCCAGGCCACTCTTGTCCCTGCCACTGGCGCCACCCCACGTGCTCTTGGCTTCACTGGCTTTGGTGTGGAGCAGGATGTCATCGGTGGCCGTTAGGTATTTCAGCAGCTCAGTGCAAGGCCGCCTCACCGGGCGGTTCTGTTGGCTGGAGCCCCCTCTTGCTTTGCCATTCCAGGGGCTCTCCGTCTGTGCAACACAGCAAGACAGAGAGAAAGAGAAAAGTATTAAGTTTGATCAAATAAAAAAGTTTTGCTCACTGTTCACAGTGCAGTGCAGTTGGTCCAGTTGTGAAAAATGTTATGTGCTTTATTTGGCACAAAAATAAAAGCAGAGAGAGACGGCGCGAGGGAGAGGCTAAAGGAGCGACTCAGACCGCCTGAGCACAGCGGTTGCCCGACTGTCTGGGAGGCGATGGTGGGAGTGCGGTCCGCCCATCATCTTAATTGCGTGGCCCTCCGAGCACCACAGCGCCACTCTGTACGCACACCATGTCCTCCGGGAGTCCTCATTCGCTGTGCTCCAGAAATGGATGACTCAAAGGCACGGTATGAAAATAGACTCTGTGAGGAGGGTTGACGCACTACATGTACAAACATAGTACGCACGGCACACACAAATCTGTGTCTGTGTCGTGTTTACCAGACAGTGTGATCATACAAAAGCTTTTTACATTCAGAGGATTTGAAGCGCGAGGGAAAGCAAAACACAGACATTTTCCCAAACAAGAGCAAATGATCAAGTGTTTTAAGCTGTAAATGAGGCTGAACATATAGTATGTCAAGTTCTGAAATTCACATACTTTATTCACATTCATAAACGTATGATACTTACACTGACTAAATTTAATCTCAATCAATCCCACCCCTTTGGAGAAAAACTCTTTTGAGAGCCATCTAATGAGAACATGAAGTCTGATATTTTGATCTTGTCATCTCAAGGCATCAATCTAGCCACAAGAGTGCCTGTCGCTGTTTCTTTTTCTTTTTCTTTTTTTTTTTTCCAACAGGCACCATACCAAGGCGGATAAGTGGTGGAGCTAATGAGACAACGGTGCCGATGCCTCGCCTGGAAAGCCCAACAGCAATCAGCCTGTTTTCATTACGAGATGGCCCCCTGGGAGAGTAGACTAGAGCAGTAGTCTAACATCTTCTAAAGGCGGCCACCAAAACAAGGAAAGAGTGAGGGAGGCAGGGAGGGAGGGAGAGCAAGCAACCAGAGAGAGGAAGAACAGAGTGAGAGAGATAAACAAACGCGAACAAAAAAAAAAGAAAAAAAAAAAGAAATGTGTGTACATGAGTGAAACAGCATGGCAGTGCCTGTATTTGTTTGTGTGTGTGTGTGTGCGTGTGTTTGTGTGGGTCCCTACCTTGACGACGGCAGGTGGTGGTCTGATCCGGTGGTTGCTGCTGGCTGCATGGTTCTGTGCCTTGCCACCTGTGTATTGATTATAGCTGAGCTGGGAGTTTGCGGGTGCCAGAAGGAGCTTCTTCAGCTGCGAATGGACCCAAACAGAACAAGAGAAAGTGGTGAAGGAGGGAACGTGTGGGGGGTGTGGGGTGTGTGTGTGTGTGTGGGGCGGTATGCAAATGACCATTTTCTTTCAATTAGACAGCCTGCGCTTTGTAAATGTACAACCAGCAAAGACCAGTAATGCAGCTATAAAAGATAAAATCACTGACACACCTCAAAGATTACAGATTTTTATGCAATTTACAGTATGTGACAGGACGAGTCAAGTAGTTTTTCTGCCTGTGCAGGTGTTTTTGTGTACACAGAGCCAGGCTTCACAAATGTGATTGAATAAACACACTCAGGCTTGTGACTAAAGGTCATTTGGGAGGGACCGGCATGGAATAAAATGGACTATAACGGAACATAACATAACATTTTAGGTCAATGCCTTTCAACTAGAGAAATGCCCAGATGGTTATGGTTATGTGTAAAAATAAAGAAGGAAGCACAAAGGTAAGCTGACTTCTTATTGACAGCCTTGTCGTTTTGCCAGAGAAGCTGACTGGGGCACGGGGGGATTAGTTGAGGCCCACTGAGAGCAGATGAGATGAGATAGATTTCGTTTTCCCCTTATTTTCATTACGTACCAGCTTGATTTCAGGGCTTGTGGCACTGTGTCAACCACAGTTGGCCCCACCACAGCGTTCATATCATTGAACTGGCGCCACAATAGCACTGTTACGTAATTACCACTGAGCAGCGAACACACTGATCCATTCCATTTACTGCCCTCCCCTCTGCATCTGTATCTCTTTCATGCTTTGACTACACATATATGGAGCACATGGTGGCAAATGTGTCATGAGTGTGGATCGGGCACAGCCAAATACAGAAGTCGAACAGACAAATGGCCGGCTTTGGTTGCCCAGTCTTGTTGAAGAGTCTTATCTGGTGTCTGCCATGAACTGGCAAAGAAGAAGCAGTGTGTGCAGGGTTGGAGGTCAGGTCTCAGGAATAACATATGTTTTGACCCTGGAGTGGTGGTAATGGGAGAATAATGAGAAGGAGGGGCTGTTGGTCATACCAGGGAAGGCTCCTCAGGCTCTGGGGTGCGCGGCGAGCCGTCGGGGGAGGAGGGACAGCTCCGGTCACTGGCATTGGTCACGTCCCCATCTGCCAGGGCCTCAAACGAAGGCAATCCGTCCTCATCCACCGGGATGCTGTCCAGGGTCTCTGTAAGCACTGCCAGCAAGTTGGCCTCATTTTCTTCATCTATCTTCTTAGGAGGGCAAAAACGGGGGGAAGACAGAGACAGAAAAACAGAGACAGGAAAAATAGGACATTTTAGTCTGAGAAGTTGCGTCTTTTTTTTTTTTTTTTTTTTCTTCAGGGAAGTAAAGGTGGTGGGTGGATGCATGCAGACTTTCATTACTAATAGAGTGGGAAGATCTTTTTTTTTTTTTTTTCAATTTTTTTTTTTTTTTCCAATTTTTTGCAGCAGCTGAGCTGGCGCTATTCTTTTTAAAAACAAAATTCTCTCTGTGTGCAAGTGAGTCAAGCCTGTCACTCATATTTTAAACACGCAGCTTACTGGACCAAAATAATATCTCCCCCAAGAAAACCCATTACCAGGGCTGACAAGTAGCAAGTGCCTCGGGAGGACAGGAATGGGCTGCGGTGGGTTGCGGCAACGAGGGGTTTTGTGGGGGTAAAGGAAACAATGAGCGGAAGTCGACTCTGCTCTCTCTTGTGCCACAGAAGAGGGAGACGATCAGCTTGCCGACAAGATGTTCGCAAGCAACCCTCAGATAAGGGGAATTACCACCCACTAATTCTGACTAAATGTGATATATTTAAAATGTTGGCATAACAGCTGATGTTCACAACGGCCGGGAAGTTACCATCAACATTTCAGGAAAAATAAAGCTTGTTCTTTGCCACTCCGCTCCTCTTTGATGTACCAGCGGAGTTGTTTGCCTGCTGCAGCTGGCTGTTTAATGGTTGAGATTAGAAGTGTGTATGTGTGAGAAATAAAGAGACGGAGAGATGAATATATAGAGATGAATACTGAGAGTGAGGGGAAAAGAGAGATGTGAGCTGCCAGCTATCAACATGGGAGGTTTACTGTGGATAATAACTATGCATGTGAGTAGTGAAAATAACAAGAGTAGAGAGAATGTATATAGACAGATATTGAGAGTGAGAGGAATGCAGCTTGCTTGACAAAGGCGTGTGTGTTTGTGTGTGTGCACGGCTCTGCCTTTGCAAGTGACAACTTGTGACAAGTGACAACAGGAACTGTAAGTTCCAGGGCCATAAAAGCCCAGGGGACTTTAAGACAGCGGAAAGATAAACAGCGTCGTCACCCCGGGACGTTCTGCGGCCAGCCCAACAAGAACAAATCCCTTTATGCACACGGCAGGATTATCATCGCTCGGCAACGGCGTGTGGCCATCATTATGCCAAAGGGGCCACCAACCTCTCAGATACCAGCACCATGCCTCTAAGACTCCGAATCCCACATGCACAAAATTTACCCGCCCGCTTGTTTCTGTCTACCCCACTGATTTTACACAATTACACACCCACCATGGATGGCACTTTTGGAGCAGCTTTGGATTCACCAATGAGATAGCGGCCATTTTAATGCTTTACCCCCTCCAATTTTCATTTAAAGATGACACAGATATCTAGGACGTTCGGTTAGCTAGCTAACAATGACTAAAACGTTAATCTGATGCTCATTGAGTAGATTTTCTCCTAACAACATGAGCACTCAGTCATTATTAAAAAATGATAAAGGGGACATATTTCACAGAGATAACACGACATAGACTGGGGCCATGCCGCACTGGCAAGCAATGCCTTGCAGGAAATTGCTCTGTATGAGGTGGCATGCTGTTTAATTACTTGCAAGGAGCTTCAAATCCACTGTGCTGGAACCCTGTGCTGCTGAAATGCTCACCATTTTCCAGCATCCCAAGTTATTACCTGAGCACTAAGCGGATAGGTATTAACCGCTGATAAAGCCAGAGCCTTTTCTTAGTCCAAACATATACCCTCGCGTGAGAAATTGAAAGTAGGATCATTTCAGATTATCACAAATGAGTCTTTAATGAGCCAGCCATCTGTTTAGGTCCAACCTAACCAACCATCGAAGCAATGCTGTATTTAGGTGTGGCTTTATTCACCTCTGCAGTACAAATTCAAACCTATACACTTGCGTAGAAATTGCATTCTATGCCACTGTGTGACACTAGTTACATTAAAAGTTGAGAGGGCTGCTCAGGCTTCATTATGTCATGGTCTGGAAAGGATTGGGGAATTTCTGAGGCTGTGGCAGGCTCGGATGTAGTGATTTCAATCCTGTTTCAAAAAGCTCCACCAATTGGCAAGCTCCCACAGGCACACTGCATCCCCGAAGATAACCCAAAAGGGACTCTCATATTCTGAAAGAGACACTTGTAAAACCTTGAATCGTGACGATCATGCTGCAGCCGCTGCTGTGACTCTAGTGGAGGCACTCATGGGCCAAGTGGGGATTTGAGAAACTGGGGTAAAGAGCAAACCTCAGCGATCGTTTTTACTCCGGAGAGATCATGATCAAATACCCCTGTCCAGGAGGGCGAGCTTTGCCATGCCAGCTGAAGGACCACACCTTGCACAGTTTCCGCACCAAAGTCAATCTACCACCAATGACTCACTTGCCCCTTGCATATTTATAAACAAAACCTCTGTGTGGGTGGACTTCAGGAGCTATGGCACCCAAAGGGGGTGACGCCAGGATAACCTGGCAACCTGCTTATAGCCATGTCCACTTATATTGATTACTACAGCAGCTGCTGAGAGGAAAAGAGGGCAGGAAGAACAAAGGGGAGACGAGAAAAATTGTCTCGGCGGGAGCACTTTCTCGCCCATCCCGCTTAATGGACCTCACCGAATTAAAGAGATCTTAACAATCCTGGGCTAATTGTGGGATCACAATATATTAACCCCGCTCCAATTCTAAAGGGTGCCATTTTGAGCCTGTTTTATTCCAAATGCTTCAATTAGCCATAAAACATGCTGGCAAGTGCTGGCAGAGCCTCTCTCTCCCCTCCTTCACCCCAGCTTCCCCACATCGGAGAAAAGAAAGCCAACTCCAGTTGTTCATTATTAGGTGAGGCCCTTTTGTTATCAGGCAGGCTGTCTTTGAGATTGTCCTTGCGTTTAACTCTTTTATTGAGTTCCATAGCACAGCATTGTGTTCCAGGAGATACTATTCACGCAGCTGATAACGGAAGGTGAAGGTGCTGCTTTAAACAAACACTCACTTCTGAACACTGGGGCAAATAGCCAAATTAAATCTGCTAATTGCTTCTTGAGGATTCCAAGCTCCTGAGCAAATTTGCCAGGGATCAAATTTTAACGAGCTTTTCAGGGCAATGCATCATTTACATGTTAAAAGGAACCAAATGTGTTGTGAAAGTGCCAGCACGATAGACCTGATCACTGAATAACACCAAGATGAAGTTTCAACAGACTAAACAGCCCCGGCGTTATCTTCAAATGAGAGGCAGAACAAGTGAGACAGACTCTGGATGTGGGAAGATAAAATATCTCCCATTAAATGGGTCATCTGGTATTTAAAGTACTGTTTATTGTCGCTGTCTCTTTTTGCTCCCTCTTTCCCTCTCTCTTTCTGCAAACAGAGGAATAGCAACCAGTTAGTTCAGACAGAAAACACTCTTAATAAACTGGCCCTCAAATTGCATAGTGGGGTTAAATCTGCGCCTCGACAATTTAATTGCATTGCTTCATCTCAATCTTTTTTTGTCTGCTCCCTGCTCTGTCAGGTTTCAAAAGCATTCCATTGGATGAGGTTAAGCAACTTGACAGACCTTCTAATCATGGCACAATCACAAATTGTGGCGGGTATAAGTGTGTGTGGCGACTGGTGGGGTGGTGGCGGTATCAAGTCGTCACATCTTGACTCTGCCAAGAAAAGCGGCCTTGGATTTGATAAACAAATAATGTCATTCTGTGTTATTACCCCCGGCCCCCAGATTTCAGAGGAAATAAATCAAAGTCAGCCTTGCCGTTAAGGCGTTAGTCAGGCCTGACACGTCGGCCGGTCACACAGGCACAACATATGGCAGCGGGGAAGGAGGGAGGGAAGAGAGGAGCGGAGGGTTAAGGTATGGCACGATGCACGGCGGAGAGACAAATCATGGCAGCCACTAGAGATGTCTGGTCATTTAGCATGAGCTTACTGAGATGGAGAGAGGGTGATTATGGCCTATACGGAGCAATGAAACCATACATAACACTGCTAAGTCCCTCTGTGTGTCTGTGTGTGTGCGTGTGAGGTGGCGGCGGCACAGTCTGACAGTGTTCCAAATCATAAAACTAAATGTTAAACCTCCATTGTGGTCAGGGTTTTGCACCACATCGCAGCAAACTAAAGGCTCCTATTGGTTCTCGTTTTCCATCTGACTACATCGTCAATGGAGCATCTCGTTATTCTGAAACTGTTTCCTACGCAAATGATCCTATGGACCAGATATCGAGGGTCTGTTGTGGACACACACAAAAAAAAGCCCCTCTGTTACTGCTCTCTGTTCACTATATGTTCTGGTTTATCATCATGGTTTGAGTGGTAAGTTGCTAAATGTTGTGCCTTGTAAATGCAGAAGAGATTGTCCAGTCAAAGCACCAGGCGGCTGATTTTCGGCTTCTCCATCCTACTTAGCCATAATACCACAACTGGCCTTGTGATAATCCCTTGGTCCTGGCAGGGATTCACTATTTTGAGCCTCTGTTAAACAAAAAAATGGCAGCTCTCTGACTGAAGAATAAGGGCTGGTGCAGAAGCTGACTGTTTACATGCCAAATGTCTGTCCCCATTTAGAAGGCTACATGAGTTATAAATCAGTGAGGAAACGGTGCGACCTATCAATGAGGACCAGGATGCATGTGTGCGGAGACGATGCGTCTCCTGGGAACCATTTGAGACTGTTAGAGCACTATCAGATGAGCTGATGGGGGGGTGGGGGTGAGGGGTGGGAGGGGGAGAGAAAGTGAGAAGAGGAGATATCTGTAAGTGAGTGTGTGAGAGCGAGCCAAAGAGAGAAAGAGAACTGTTGTTACACATCCTGACAGAGACCAGATCCAATTGAGACACCTACCCAAGGGATGTTAACAGTGCTGTTCTTTCTAGTTCTCTGTGGAAAAATCCTTTGACTGGTAACCCTGCTGCTGAAACTAACCACCTGAACTCTGTCACACATCTGCTGAGAT